CTCATTCCTGCTGAGCCCTGAGCTGACCTAATTATAGGAGCAACATGATCTCTCGTAACTGTTTCCAGCTCCTGAACATGGTGGAAGTTGGCCTTTTGGACTGACATTTAACAAGAAACACAAAACCTCCGTCTTTTGGGTAGAATCAAATTCCAATCAAGCACTTTTTTGTTGTTTTAATTAGGGATTCAGTTAAGGAAAGAGTGAAGCTGGAATGAAAAGCAGCAAGTGTGTGTTTGAACTGAAGACTAGGGACGGGAATCAGTCCTGAACACTGAATCCAGTTACTTCATTAATGCATTGATTTACACAGCACATGAAGTGTACTCAACTAGGAGTGCTTCCACAAGCACTACATCATTCCATACTACAGACTAGCATCCTATAGAATTAAAAACAACAATATTTGCAGTTCTCTGGCCCCTAATGTGCTTTTCCACTACATAAACGGTGACACCAATTTCTCTCAGCAAAGAAATCATTCAGTGTTGTATTGATGCTCCTGACCCATGCAACACTGCTGTGAAGTATGTTCTTAAACATCTTATCTCATCTCAAGAGGTAACATCTAATAGACAGTTACCTCTTGGTCAGTTTAATTTCCTAACCGATTTCCTCAATACTGAAAACTGACAACTCCTTGAACACCATTTTCCAGTGCCCTTTAGCAGTATGAATGTGTACACCATTGATTCCAGTAATGCTCTTACCCCCTTTCCAGAGATGCTGTACTTCCCTCTCAGCTTAATCTCAGCATTGTTCCTTCAGAGTGGTACCATGGGTTCATGCCTGGCCTGGGATACGTTCCGTGTGGAGTTTGCAAGTTCTCCCCAAGGGTTTCTGTAAAAGTTCTGGTTTCCTCCTATGGAAGACACGCTGTCTAGTTTTGATTGGCTATTCTAAATCATCTCTCTCTCTCTGTGGCCTTGTGATGGACTGGTTATCTTTGTCAGGGCAAGAGCACTCATGTCCTCTCAGTCTAGCCTTGACCCCTATGCTTCTAGGATAGGGTCCTGTTTGTCATGATCCCCCCCGGCACAAACATCTTTCTGATAATGAAAGAGAAGGATAGGATATAGTCACCCAATCTGGAAAGAGAAGGATTGCCAGAGGGGCTTAGTGAGCACCCTCTGCTGGATGAGACAGGTAACTACACCTGGGTCTGGGTTGGTCTGTGGAATTACTGTCAGATTGTTCTTTTAAAACTGCAGTCGGCTGCAGTTGTTTTTGTAGTTTGTGCGTGTGTTCTTGTTCAGCTCACAGAAGAGGAAGAGAGAGACGTTTAGAGAGCAGTTGTGGGTGAACGAGCCCAGGAACCTGGTTAAGAGACAGAGAGAAACGAGCCTTGCCTCTTCTACAGTGCTGAATGTGTATAATGTGCAGAAGATACTGCTAACAGGAAGTTGCACTAACATCAACTTGGTTTATTTTCTAAAATCCACCCCACATTTCACAAAGAACATTTGTACATTTTTCTGCCACAGCTAGTGCTCTTTAAAAATGAAAATTAAATAATTAATAATTAAAATATGGGTTTGTTAATGCTACGTAAAAATAAGTACATAACAACAACATAATAATAATAATAATAATAATAATAATAATAATTGCTTACACTTATTTAGCGCTTTTCTGGACACTCTACTCAAAGTGCTTCACAGGTCATGGGGATCCCCTCCACCACCAGTGTGCACCCCCACCTGGACATAACAAGGTTACGAACAAGAGGCCCTTCTGCCCTTTTGTTAATTAGTAGTAAATCGATCCAAAGATCTCATCCAGGTGTTTCTTGCAAGAATCCAGGGTATCAGCTTCAACAACATGACTGGGTAGCTTGTTCCATACTCCCACAACCCTTTGGGTAAAGTGTATCTTGTTCCCACTTTTCATTGCACTTGTTTTCACCTGCATCCTCTGGTCCGTGTTCTACTGTTCACTCTGAAGAAGTTCACTGGTGGACTTTGTCAGTGTGCTTGAGGATTTTGAACATTTGTGCCAGACTCCCTTATAGTCTTCTCTGTTCAAGACTATCAGACAATCTGTGTCATACAATCTGACTTTTCATCATTTCCATTTTTTCATAACACTTTTCATAGAACTGCTCGTGATATCACACTTTGTCTTAAGAAAATACAGAAAGAAAATGCAGTGTTTTTTAACTTCCATTAATCAACGGACAATGATTTTTCCAGAGTGGTACAGTGACAGGCAGATAAAGATGGATGTGTTTGTCTTCCGTTTATATACTGTACAGTATTCTGTGTGCCATGGTTGATGATTTAAAGACAACCAACATTCCAGTCCATCAACACTGTCATCCCACACTGTTCTGGATCATAGTGTAATGTTTGGTTTTTATTTTCCCTCAGCATGAATCCATCACAAGAAGCTGGATTTACAGAAGGGACGCTCACATGGGTAAATCCTATAGTATTGTAACGCAACAGGGGTTCAGGCGGGCGCCCTTGCCGCAATAGGTCGGCCCCCCTCCGTCGGGGGGCTCGAACCCCGGACTCCCACGTCACTCTGCAGGAACCCAGCCCGGTGAGCTGAAGAGAGATCTCTCTACAGCCCAGGGGCTGTGGTCCTGCTATCACAGGGAAGGGCGGCGACGTCCCCGCTCTGGTAAGCCGGCTCTTACACAGTACCTGTCGGCCGTAAGCGTTACAGTATATTTCCAGGCTGGTTGTGACGGAACTGGGAAATTTTCAATGGGGGGCTACCCCAGCACGCAGCTGTTGCAGATAGTTCCAGCAGAGGGCGATACACATTGAATTTGTTTCTTTTAAGTCGGACAGATGACAAATTCTGTCTCTAATTGAAATGCGCAGCCAGGGGCACAGTCACAGGACTCTAGGGAAACGTTTAAGGATGAAGTACTGTTCGACTGGTATTTGTTTTTTCTTGATGCAGCAGCTAATCTAAATCTTTTTTTTTAAATCTAAAAGATAAGATTAAGATCGTACAACTAGAGCTATTATCGGATTTTATGATTCACGGGTGTTTTCACTTCGCCTTTTACTCAATCAATCAAAGTTTATTTTTTCAAGTTCAGGCGGAAAAAAAAAAGAAAAAAATACTTAACGCCTCTCCATGCGAAACAGGGCCATCAGTGTGTTTAACTCAGTAAACTGAATGAGTATAATTGCAGCTACAAACTCGTATAAGCAGCTGCTTCTGATCAGCTGGGACAGTCCCGTCGCGTGCGGGGGGGGTTCCCATAGCAACCTGTACACGAAAGCTGTAGCTGTAGGTGCGGACGGTGAGATCAGGGTCCGTGAACTGAGAATTTAAACACACGAAGCTGGTTAACAACACATTTCCAGTGCCTTGGAGCGACCGAGCCTGTATCCCGGGTATGATTTTGTATCAGCTGTGCTACAGTCGCGT